ACGACTTTGGCCCAGTCAAGGTCGCTCCATGTGACCTTGTCGCATGCCCATTTTTGGCGCGCAATTTTGTGCTTGTCCGTCAGAGTTGGTGAGGCCATGGCCTTGATGTACTGGAGGTGCTTGGCCTGGTTGAGTAGTTGCCGGGCACGCCTAGCCTTAATGGCTAGTTGGCACTCGTCGACGAGCTCACGAGAGCTTAAAAACGAGTTGGATGCAGTCCGAAGAAGCCGGCGCAGGTCTTGGGCACTGACCTTGGGTGGCCGGCCACTACGCTTGTTGATATTGTAGCCCGCTGGGTCACGTAAGAAGTGTGCAATGGCACTTCGAGAGCGACTTAGAAGTCGTTCTATCTCTCTGTGGCCTTTGCCGACCGCGGTAAGGGCCAAAATCATGGCCTGTTCTTCTTCCGTGAGTTTGGGTCCCGCTGGCATGCAAGGATGAAGTTTTGAAATCAAGGAAAGGCGGGAATCGGTTTAACTCATTACGCGGAGCATAAAAAACATGGTTTGTGAGCTAAAAAACGCCTACAAGAGCAAAATGGACGTGGTGGTTTTATAGTTTTTGCCACATGGTTTTTTTGTATGTCACGTTTTTTTTGCGTAGCGTGATGGGTACTTGGCGCCAAGTTGCGACGAATGTCATGATGGTTTACAAGGAACATTCGGAATGGTAGAATCTATCTCAATTTAGAGACGACCAAGTTGAATGTGCAAACCGGTCAAATTTCTACGTGGTCTTAAACTTTTTGCCAGCACTGTATCCCCTCGACAATGGTACACCACGATTTGAAGGAATCAAGGACCTTGAATTCTTCATAGTGATGTGTTTGTGTCCTCTTCCCGCATCTCCCAGTAGGTTGGTTTCACAATGTCAATTGATAGATTACTGTTAATAGCGTAAAACTGTGCTGTGGATGTTAGTATCATGTTTATTGAATACTACGTAGTATAGTGAATATGGCTTTACTATTATTGTGCTTTTCATCTTTTTTGTCTAATATTATTGCTTGATTTATTCTACTAACGTTAGATTATTATTTTTACTTTTTTAAGTGAAAAAATACATAATACAACGTAGTACCTTTAAGTAATTTAAATAAGAATTGTACTAACGTTAGTATTTATAGCATTACACCTTTATTAGAGTGATTTTGCTAAGTAAATTTACCTCTGAGAAAATCACTGTGCGTGTCACACAAAGAATTTTGTTCCAGAAATTTCGTCGTCAGTACTCCGCACAGAGACAACAAAATTCGCTGTGAGAAACATTAACCATTGGACAATGGAGGAGGATACCGAGTCCGAGGTACAGGCTAGCCAACGATGCAAAACTGCATTCCGCTTTAAGGGTTGCACGGATGTTGAGTTGCTGAAGGAGGTCATACACGTGAGGCCCTACGAAGGACCCCATGGAGAGGTCCGCAAGCGATGGACGGAAGTAACAGAGCATCTCCAGCGCCTATACGGAGATGGAATCACAGTCAACGCCACGCGAAAACGATTTGATGACCTGATGACGGCGTTTCATGCCAACACTATGGCCGCGCTCCGCGCATCTGGGACGGAGCAAGACTATGAGGAGCGCGAGCAGCTACTCCAGGATATCCACGACTTGGTAAGACTCGTCATCGAAGACGGTGGTAATCATTCTCCTACTTGTTTACGTTGATGCTGCATCCATTCAAAAGCAGACGGACAAGGAAGAAAAGGCAAAACATAACGAGCGACGCGAAACGAATGGCGAGAAGATTCGCGACGCGGCGATGTCAATCATGAAAAGGAAGTCGTTAGAGGTGGTCGAAGTTAATGGGTGCGAGGACGCGCCACCAAGCAAGAGACAGAGCCGCGGCAGTTCACAGATGGTGGCCAAAGCCAATGAAGTCAAGGCTGAGGAGGTCCGAGCACAGCATGAGAACAACATGCTTGCTAAAAAAGTTGGAATTGGATGAGAAGCGATACGAACTCGACAAAGTGGAGCGTGAGGCGCGGTTTGCCTTAGAGCGACGTGAACGGGAGGCTCAGTTAGTGTTTCTACACAGAACTGTTGAAGTGCTGAAATCTTTAGTTACCAAAAATTGAAGTTGTCTCTCATGTTGAAATGGTTAACATATCTTATGAGCTCAGTTTATTCTGTCTAGCGACCCTTGGCGTAAAGATATTTTTCGGCACTTGGGGGGCTTAAACCGAAGTAGTCTGAAACTTGATTTACGCCTTTAATGCAAGTATGAAGATTTGTCAAAATAACAGCAACAACAAACTGCATACCGACGGCTTGCCCCCACAGTTTTTGACCACCTGCATGATCTACAAATGTCCAAAGATTTCGGACAATTCCGAAGCTCCACTCTACACTCACACGAACAGCACTCATGCGACTGTTGAACGCTGACTGATATTGGTCCAGGCGCGCCCCTTTGTAGCCGCAAACAGTGACATCGTTCGCACCATACGCCGGATCCCCGTAAATGACATATCGCTTCGTGTCAGTCACCAGCACGTCCGACAAAATGGCAAGAATTCCGCTTCTCTCAAGGAAGTACGCATCGTGTCGGGACCCTGGTTCAGGGCCATATAAATGGACGATGATGCCATCAGGGGTTGTGATTGATTGGAACTTCAATGCATGCTTTCTCTACAAGTAGAAATGATCAATTTACATTCGTACGCCTGAGAGGTTTATCCATATGTACCTTGTGGCCATTGTATGCTGTCTTTTGGACACCTTTACCGGGACGGCAAATGCCACGGACCGTGCCATCAATGAAACCGATGCAGCAATCGAGAGGGGCCCCACTGTCGTGTATGGCTGAAGCACATTTCTCCATCCATGATGCGTCAAGGCGGTCTTTGTCCCAACGGAGTAGATGCTTGAAGCGATCGTAGATGTGGCACATGACTCCGTTTGAAAGTACCGAGAGAGCTTCTCGGCTGCGGCCAAAGAGCAAGACCATGGTCCCGAGGCGGTGAGGCCACGCCAAACGGTTGAGCAGAATGCAGAGAGCCTCCACAGCACTGGCATTATAGCGGTGGGGTGTGATCATCGGGTCGGGTATCTCAAGCAACGCCACAAGCAGTTCAATCTCCGCTTTGCCCAACCGGAAATGGAACTCACACATGGTATCCGTTTGTCCCATTAGGTTAAACCTGCCTCGAGGTATTTGTATCGCCCTCGTGTGCGGCTCAGAAGCATTCAGGAGCAGCGCTGCTGCTGTCAGCAGTATGCTTCCTTCGTCCATGGGAGGCCAGTGCAGCTCACAGGTAAATTTGCTTTGGCAAAAACTTTTCGCACAGCACTTTTTCGTGTGGAATTTTCTCGAAATTTCACAGTGAAATCTGCAACAGCAAAATCACTCTATTTTCATCGAAATTCGCTTACTTCGAAGTACTTCGAAGTAGGATATTTCACAAGACCACCGATATATTTCGACCAGTGGCTACCTGAAACATCAAGTTTATATTTCACCAAGCCAGCGGTATAATTCAAGCAACAACTGTTTAATTTCACTTTTCGTCAATATATTTCACTCAGACGGCGATATATTCGACCAACGATAAACTGGCTCTCCATCGACGGTTTCGCTTTCGCGCTCTTAGAGCATCTCCACCAGTAAATTGGTATCGGCGGGAAGCTTTGGCGGTACACCTTTCATCATGCGCGCTGGCAAGAAAAAGAACTTGTCGAAGACGGCGACAACATCTCTTGCAGTACCTCCTCAAAGTGGCCTGCCGAATGGCAAGCTTCTGCGGGAACTGTCAAGAGCGTTGCAGCATGGTTTAAGTGCGATCTAAGGACTACGAACAATCTGTGGTTGCGAGCATCGTTAAAGTTTCGTCGCGCAAGAGAGGCACACGTGGGAGAAATCCTAAGTAACGTTAACGTAGAATGCCAATTGTTGCAATACAACTTTTTGAGAATGGCCATAATTCCTGATTGAGGCATCGTTTTTGAATCCTAAAGTGCCCTAAGTTGTAGACAATGTTCAGGGTAATCCACCAATTATCAACGTGCAATGTATTTCCCACAATTGAGCTGTATACAGCTCTTCATATATGTTGTACCCCCCTACAAGTGGTATGCCAATTGTTTACGTATCATTTTAACCTTCAGTGTTGTATGGCTACGAGACTACATATTCGGTTCTGTGAAAGATCAGTGATTGGCTTAGTTTTATACTCCTCCGTATCACAAAAAGAGTGAGGATATTAGAGTGATTTTGCTACGTGATATTTCCTGAAAAGTTTCACGATGAAGCCTTTATATTCATCAAGAAATTTCCAATATATATTGATTATATTGGTTTTCACACACAGTAGTCAATCAAAACACTTGAACATGCTAAATTACCAATTTAATGCACTGGGTTGTTGATATGCCTAAAGATTGGGAGCCGTGCCCTACAGTTAGGTGTTCATCGACCACCTCAAAGCGGTCATGTTTGAACGTCGGCGCGATGCACACTACAGCATACAGGGATGGTGCAAGTTCACAAACTGTACACATTGCACCTAATGCACTGGGTTGTTGATATGCCTAAAGATTGGGAGCCGTGCCCTACCGGTAGGTGCTCCAGAAGACCCGCAACAACGCACACAGTGGCAGTTCTGCTTAAATTTGAATTTTTCCTATAGCAAAAGCACCTTCCCAACATGATATTCCCCGAAGGATTTTCAGGGAAATTGTATTGGAATATTCGTGTGGATTCTTGGTGCAAAATCACTCTATTGTGCCTTTCAAAATTTATGAAATAAAGTATGCATGGATGGATGGTTTTATAAAATGTTCGTCGAGGTCGTATTTTTATTCAGAAAACTGCATGCACGACGAAGCATCATATGATTGCAGACCTGTGGTGATGTCGTAGTATAGATCACCACTGTGGCTTGGATATACCAACACGACATTACACGACATTGTCGTTAGTATTGTGCTTTGCAACTTATTTGGCGGTCATATTTAGGATCTTATTCAGCTTCACATGATTTATATTTCTGTCAAAACGCAAGCTTAATCTGGGACAGATTCAGCGTTAATATGGGTCGGAATGATAATAAACACTAAATCTGCCTCGTTTGAAGTTTGGTATAGAGGACAGCAGTGCATGTCAATCATTGCAAGGACTGATGTTGAGCCCGCAATAAATGCATTCAGTAATTACAAACAATTATTGGCTTCTTCTGGTCCAGTTCGAAACTCCAACATCGTTCTACTCACAGTCAAGATCTATATTGAAGTCAACGAGAATACCAAGTTTCAACTTTGACGTCGGGCAGAATAACAAGTTTCAAGCCAGAATTGCAGTTTGAAACTGCAGTTCTGGGCGAAGATTTATAAATCTGGGTATGACAAATTTCTATCTCGGCCGAATAAATCTAAATCAGCTTTGCCCGCACTTAAATCTGACGCGAAGTCCGTATTAATCGGCAGATTTGAGGTGGCTTATGCCAAATAAGTTGCAAAGCACAATAATTAGCTCATACGCCATTGGCACTTTACTTTGTCTCGACATCGCGGTACAAATGCATCAAGTTCCGACGATACGACGCACGAGGTTCAAGGCATTCGCTTCGGCAATGCGAATTCCATCATCTACACTGCACAGGTGCCTTAAATGTGACGTGGAGCATGAAGTTTTATTACTTTGTCCCAGGCGAGGAGCCTCTGCGCCGGACGTTAAAGTCTTAACACCACATTGTGAAGGTCATGTTCATCACTGCGGTTGTGACCTCGCTGAGACGAAGCCAAACAAGAAATGTGGGACGGCAAAATCGTACCTGCGCAGCATAGCAGTCACAACCGCACGGCGGGGCATCCTGTCATGTATTGTGTCAACGTTACCTGTGACGTGTACCGACGTATACTTGTTGTCAACGTCATTAGTGAAATTCGGGCGTTATGGCCCGCGCCGCCGATTTTCATGATAATCCAACAAGACAACACCAAACACGGACACCTGGCGACAAGGAGGTGAATGATGCTTGTCGACAGGGTTCGTACATGACTATTGAGCAGCCGTGTTCTGCAGTGTGCAGAGGAATATGGTTGCGAGTCGGTTTGACCCATTGCAAACACACACACTCGGTGTGTGTCGTGTCAAAGGTTTCGATACCTTAGTGAAGGCACTGAGTAATTTAGTGAATGGTAGTCAGTAGGGGCTTGTGGTGTGTTCAACCTGAATAATGTCAGGTCATATTTGCTGCCTTGAGGAAGCTCCCCTGGCTGAAAGCCAAGACGAAGCGGGAAACAAAACAAATATATCTTTAGTTCATTTTTGAGCCATTTACTGGACATGGTACAACAACATTCCTCCGACAAGGAAACACCAACTAACACCGAAGAATGATCGTCGACGCATGACCGAATTAAGGAGGGCGAGGACGGGTCGCTCGGCGCACCGTGGACAACCCCGTTCAGATTTCCCCGACGACATCCACCTGCTGTCGACCAGTGGCAACCGCCACGTGGTGGTTTTTACACTCCTGACACAACCCGAGGAACACCAGTTGTCGCAGCATTTGGGCCAGCTGCTGCTCCACCAACGACTGAAGCAGATGACGCTTCAGTGCCGTTGCCAGCCGACAACGACCCATCGGGTGTCCGAGCTGAAGACATCGGTTCAAAAGCAGCTGCAGTTACAGCGGAACAAAGCGTTCAAGAGCGGCGTCTTCCGTATCGTCAGCTTGCTGCGAACTTTTTCAGCTGGCCACAAGCTGTACGTTGGACTCGACGACGAGTCTAAACTTTCCCTAGCAGCGAAGCCGGTAGAAGCTCCACGAGGCGGAAAGTCTCAAGTTCCAAGACGTGAAGGCGGCCGGGAAGGCGCCCCCAAGAACAATGGAAGAGTCGGCAGAAAGGCCTATGCGATTGTGCCCAAGACCGCCGAGCCACCTGCCAACAAGGTCTGCTTGATTGCGATGTCATGAGTCACCGTGGGGCGCGGTGCTCGCGCCTGGCAAAGCCGAAACGTTCTTGACAGCACAAGTCAAGCGCTGGAAGGACGGCATGAAGGTGCTGGTCAACCAGCCGGAGCGACAAAACTCAGAACGCGGCGGGCTATTAGAGAACGCCGTCCACGTGGACGATGTCCTGTTGGATGTGACCGTTGTCATGCGCGGCGTTATGCGTTGGTCACAGCCGGTGTCGAAGTTGGAATTGTCTTCCATAGCGTGCCACAATTGGCGTACCTGTACGGCAGTGACGCCAAGTCAATTGTGATGACGCCCAGCGTCAAGTTCAACTGCGTGATGCTGGACACGACGTGTGGACCGCCCAGGCATGGAGCAAGGAAGAAGCATGAATAATGGGACGTTTCGTCCGTATCGACAAATGAATTGTCCGGCATGGTGAATGCCAAGTGCCTGAAGGCGGAGAAGTTGAATCCACCGGAGCTTAACCCCAACGACGGGATGGAGTGTACTACTCCGGAGGTTTATCCCAAGACCTCCGTCGAGAACGAAGCGGAACGGCGCCGCACGAAGCAGGACGCCGTTCAAGCCATTCTACCGGCCAAGGCAGCCGAGGCGAAGACTCGCGGGCTTGAGCGACTTATTCGCCAAACACATTGATGTGTTCGGTGAAGACGTGGGCGATGATCTGCCAGTCGAGGTCGAGCGACTGGAGGTTCGGATCAAGCCCGGCTCGACACCGGTGAAGTGTGGGATGCGGTCGTACCCGCAGCTGTATGTTTAGTACATGCGATGCCATGTGGCTTCTCTGGAAGCGAATGGTATGATATACCAAAACAACCGGGCTACGTCGGCTTCAGCCCCAAGAATCGTGCCGAAGAAGGAAGTCCGCGACTTACGAATGACGATCGACAGCAGGCCGATCAACGCCTGCACGAAGTCGATGCCTTGGTAGATGCCAAATCTAGACAGCGCGATGGTCTGTCTGGTCGGAACGACGGTGTACTTCACTTTGGACTAGACCAAGGCGTACTGGCCGCTACGTGAAGATAGCCATGTGTAATTCTCCTTCATGACGCCCTTCGGCGTGTACACCCCGAACAACGTGCTCATTTGACAGACGGACACTGTCGCGTACTGCCAGTCGGTCGTCCACCAAATGTTTGGTGATGTGCTGTTCCGAGGCCTGTAGGCCTGGCTGGATGACGATAGACAAGTTTTTCGACTTATTGGACCAAGGCTTGACCATCTGTGCCCAGTTCGGACTCAAGTTGTGCCCGAAAAAGTGTCATTTCTTTCTGCACGAGGCAGAGTTGTGTGGCAAGGTGATTTCGGCCGATAGAATCACCCATTCCCCAGCCGAATTCAAGGACTCGTGGATTTGTCGTCGCCGACGACAGCGGCTGACCTCCAACAGTTTGTGTGTGCCACGTGCGAGCATCCCTGGTTACAACCAGCTGGTGGATCCGTTGCGACGCCTGCTTGACGTGGCCACCAAGGCAACCGGAAGCTCCAAGAAAACGACGTTAGTATGCTTCTATTTATTTTAAGGGAAGTAATGTTTTTTTTGGCTTTTTTTCATTCAGCATTTGCTCCTACTCCTGATATAGGTTCTGTATGGCCTCCTTTAGGTATTCAAACTATAGATGCTTGGGGTATACCTTTATTAAATACTATTATTTTATTAACTTCAGGTGCTACAATAACTTGGGCACATCATTCAATTATTGTAGGTTCTAGACAAAATGTTATATTAAGTTTAATATTAACAATATCTTTAGCTATTTTTTTTACATTTATACAAGGTTTTGAATATATAGAATCTTCTTTTACTATTTCTGATAGTATATACGGTACTACTTTTTTTTTATTAACAGGTTTCCATGGTTTACATGTTATTATAGGTAGTATTGCTGGATCAAGCTTTCGCCCATTGTCCAATATTCCTCACTGCTGCCTTTAAAAAAGTTTGGGCCGTGTCTCAGTCCCAATGTGGCTGATCATTCTTTCAAATCAGCTAAAGATCGTAGGCTTGGTAAGTCTTTTAAACTACCAACTACCTAATCTTCCGCAAACTCATCCAATAGCGTTTTTTAAACTTTATTTTTTATTCAGAATTTTTATAAAATAATTATGCTGAACTAAAGGGTAGATTATTCACGTGTTACGCACCCGTTTGCCATGTTTTTCAACATTTGACTTGCATGTGTTAAGCATACTTAGTATTTTTTTAACTTTTATTTTATCTGTAAGTATGTTTAAAGAATCTATGGATTTAGCTTTAAATACTCATTTAATTGTTACTACTTGGATTTCTAGTGGACTTTTTTATTGTAATTGGGCTTTTTATTTTGATACTTTAACTTTTGTTATGTTAACTGTAGTGACTGGCGTTTCTACTTTAGTTCATTTATATTCAAGTGAATATATGGGTAAATATTCAAGTGAATATATGGGTAAAAATGACCCCCATTTGTCTAGATTTATGTCTTATTGATCTCTATTTACTTTTTTATGGTTATTTTAGTAACAGGAGATACTTTATATAAATGTTTGTAGGTTGGGAAGTGCTTGTTGCACTCCCTGCTGTGGGATGGTCAATTGGTCATGTCAGGTGTTTCAACGATGTGAAACACGCGTTGGCGCATGTGGTGCCCCTGTCGTACCCACGAGAAGAAATAACGTTCTGTGTTTTCACGGACCCAGTGACCTGTTTTGGGGTGCGGTCGCCACACAAGTACCGCCAGTGGTCCTGAACTTGCCTCTCCAAGACCAGCGAGCGGCACCAGCCGCTTACTTTCATCAGTGGGTGGTTTTCTACCCCATCGTCGAGAAGGAGGCCTATGCCGTGGTCGAGTCGTGTAAATGACTACCTGGTCGTACGCCCGGATGGTTTCCGTCTGATTACGGATCACATATACATCTGCAACCCAAGTGGCTCGAACGCCAACATGGTTATAACACCAAGAGAATATTATGGTGTTCTGCTGTTTTAATTTTATAGCTATGATGGCGACAGCATTTATGGGTTATGTTTTACCTTGGGGACAAATGAGCTCCCCAAAAACTCATTTGTCCCCAAGGTAAAACATAACCCATAAATGCTTAAGCGCCAGGCCGACAAGCTGCAGCGATGGTAGCTGGTGATGTCCTTCCCGTACACCATTTAGTGCGTCCCGGGTGACGCGAATGTATCGGGCGACCTCCTGGATTAACCAATCGCGAATGTTTGCAAGTTGATCCATGTGGTGTCTCTGCAACAAGTGGACTTCGAGTGGTCGACAGCCGCTACAATCAGCAGCATCCAACGTTCAACCATGGAAGGGGGAGGGACTCCCCCAAACGGCGTGGATTGGGACGACGACTCCCATTTATACGTGGACCCAGACGGACGAATCTGGTCTACAGCAGCGGATTTGTGTGATTATTTAACAATGAGCCAGCGGTCACCGTCGCATCGCAGCAACGACCAAGTCGGTGTCCGACAGTTGCGGTGTGTTGAACCACTAATATCAGTGTTATGTTTGCTACCTTGGTGAAGTTCCCTTGGCCGAAAGCGAAGAAGAAGCGGGAGACAAAACAAGCAGCCATCGAACTCACCTGACCTCAACGTGCTGGACCGCGGATTTTTCTGATCGATGCAGTCGCTGCAGACAGAGTATCACTCACGCAACGTGGAAGAAATCGTTGCGTCAATAGAAAATTCGTGGTCCAAGATCGATTCCTGCACTTTGAAGGTTGCAGAGTTGTTAGCAAGAAGTCATGCGGCCCTTTGGCAACAACGACTATAAAATCCCCATATGAAAAAGTCAAAATTGATGATCGGAGGTTTGCTCCTGGAGGTCTTTGGGTACGACAAGGAAGTTTTGAGGTTTGTGTAACTAGACTCAATGGTATGAACTAAGTCACATACAGACTTGGAATTATAGGTTAGCGCGAATTTGGCATTAGGTGACTTGTGTACAGAGATTGAATTGCTCAAAATCGCCGAGAATGATACGCAGGATGAGGACAAGCTCAACTGGGATATCAAGTTAACTCCTATGGATTTATTTATAAACAAATATCCCGTGTAATCCAATCGTATATTCAATATAACAGGGGAAAGTAAATGGATCAATTTTGAATTTCACTACTGGCGGAAGAGCCTGGTACTGCACTGTCATTGCTAGCTGGCGGGTTGCAGGCAAAACTTCATTATGTTGTTCATCTGCGATGGTCAAAGCACTTACAACCAATCCATGGATACAGGACATTCGGTCCGACTTTCTTCTGTCAATATCTCACGTCTGGTTTTGACTTCACTTTTGTATTATAAAAAATATTACAACGAACAACAAATGATCCGACGATCACTTGATTCCTGTATATCCTGTCCGACTTTTTTCCACTACAGTGAACGACGTTAAATAAGCATGCACGATTTTGGCGCATTTATTTTTGAACGAACCAATCACAACAAGCACGTGCAAGAATGGGGCCAAACCTATCATCCCCGATGCACATGGCCTTGTCACCTACATGAAGGAACCTGCGTCGGTAAGTGATGGCTGTCACGTCCCCCCACATGCTCCAGTACTTGCGTGAAGCCCACCTGGACTGGATCGAACACTACATGCGTTCACCTACCCCTGCTCCAGCACTTCACGGAACGTCACGGTTTCTCGCGCCAGCGAATCTGCCGCCAAAAGAAGTCCCAAGAGGAACTGGAAGTCACGCGCATTGCCTTTGGGAAGCAGTTCAACGATAAGCGACCCGGCATCGATGTTTTGTACATCTCTGACGAGACAGGTATGTACTACGACATGTGTCCCAACACCATCTGGGCCATTCGTGGCGGTGGGAGTTATGTTGCGAATTCGGAGCCACACTCCTACCGCATGACGGCGCTGTTGACGGTGCGAGGTGATGGGAAGACATTGCCCATACTCTTCATCATCCGTGGCGAGCCTGGTGGCGATATTGAGACCAATGAGTTTCCCGACTACCCGCCCGAGCACTTCTACGCGATGCAAAAGAAAGCCTGGATGAACGGCATTGTGTGGAAGTACTTCCTCCCCGACGTGCTCAAACCGGACATTGAAAACCCGTCTGTGTTGCTCGTGGACAACTTTGACTCGCATGTCAGTGAAGACAGCGAGAGCATTGTTGGTGAGGAGTTGGGAAGCGAGCTGTGTGCGTTGCCTCTCAACAGCACGTCTCATTGTCAGCCCCTAGATGTATATTTCATGGGTCCTTTCAAACAGCATTTGCAGAATTTGTGGGTGCTGACGAGGTCAACAGCTACCACAGCCAAGGAGAAAAGAAAAGTAATGAATAATCGCGCGATCAAGGCTTGGGACATGGTAACTGATGATGAAGTCCGTGTAAGTTTTGTGAAAGCACTGCCGCGTCCCTTGTATTTTGCCTGTCATCTGTTCTTTGGGGAAATCGGGGGGAATGTGAGAGAACCTATGGCTGGACCATCGACCCAATCCGTAGTTTTTTAATGACTTGAATTCATTATGTGATTTATTGATTTTGACATGCACGTTTCATATTTTATTGACACATGAAGCGGCGAAATGACTTCCACATGGTGCATTTGTCGCATTTATCACGATTTCAACTGATGTTCAAGTTGTAACATCAGTTGCCTGTGATAATCTGTTTTCTGTCAAATTTGCGTCCTACATCCCACCAATGCCTTATATTTTCTGACATTTATACCTTATTTTATAATATCCTGCTACAGTTTATATGGGCAACCGAAATATCTTAACCACTTTTATTTTAATACATCAGACCTGATACATGATTGGATAAATTGACTTGGACTACAGTCCAATCAGATTGACGTGCTTATTCAACATTGTTCCCTGTACCTTAATGAATTTTGAATTTTAAATGTATAAGGCGAGACCCGACGTAAACTTATCCTTAGAGATATTGAGGGGTTTACGAAATGTCTACGAAACCCTTAAAATCTTATACTGTATTTCGCTTGCATCGATTGCCACACACTTTGACTTTGCTGGATCCGCGGACACAAGAACGATGAATGATGCGCATATAAATCAAAGGTTATACTTCTTGATGAGATCATACATGGTTGGGTATGTCATCTCGTCTAGTTTACGCTTGCTACCTTCGCAATCATTGTTTTCCAGTAGACGCGTTTGACCAAGATGCGATGGACGACACTCTCAGGTACTAGGTACTTCCGTAAGGTGGAGACCATTGTGTTTGGGCCAATTTTCAGACATTCTGTTGAATTTGGCCATAGAATGGTACTTTTGACCAAAAGGTCTCCACCTTTACGGAACAGAGGAAGTATGCCAGAGCTCACAGTACAAGTTTTAACGCGTGCATTATAGGCTACTATACTGTAGTCGGTGTCATCCGTGCGCCTAGCCTTTCGCGAGAAGGCGCCACTCCCGCGCCGGCATCCTTGGATATCCAATCATAATGCAGCTTGATTGCCCCAGCGGCGCTGATCGAGTAACGTTATATAAGATCTGTCAACAACTGGGGATCAAGGAATGTTGCTTCGGTATGGCTGTAAAACATGCTATAAGTACGAGAATACGCTGTTGCGTATGAATATCGTATTAGTACTGAACAATAATGAGCATCATGGGCGTGTCTTGACTTTGATGTTGAAGGCAATGGCAATTCCTCCACCATCACACACATACACTAACGTTACTCTACCTCAGCCATTTCTAGGGCCTGGTGATGTGGGGCAGTCGTGCCCTTTGTGTGCACCACACCACCACTTCCCACAACAGAACCATTATAATAGGCTGCCTGCGCCACGTCCCGCGACATGGACGATCCCCTTGCCCGCCGATGGCGTTGCTGTGTAAAGATTCTGAAACTGTGTCCGAATACTCGGTTTCGTAAAACCCTTTATATCTCTGGATATAATTTTAGCATACAAATATCAAATCAAAATGTGTCCACTATCTGGGTTTACGAAATTTCGTGTTTCGTATCTCCAATTGTATCCGGCCCATTTATTATTGTACTACCTCCGTCCGAAAATGTTTGCTATGGTGCAAGTCACCTAAAGACTACAAATAAATGCCTTGACTTTCGACAGTTATTCCAACTTAGTATTGATATTATTTAGGAAAATATACCGTAATAACGATAGAACTGGACAAGCCCAACAGAAGTTACGGTTCAGATTTTCGATTGGTGAAAAATTGATCGAGTAATAGAATTTAAACCAACCGGCCTTTTTGTACGGGAGATGTATGGAACCAGGTACATTTTGGCCATCAAGTATATCTTGGTTTTTGTATACAGCACTTATCCGTACGAACTTTTTCATTGTATCCGGATTATTCCCAATGTTTAACCTAATTGCCAGGTAAAAAGCAACTAATAAATGATTTAACGTCAACATTTCGTGGGTTTAACTGAAAGAACCGAAGCGTTTAATAGTAAAACGTCTCCTCCTGAGAGGATGGCCGATCTGTAGTCTTTAGATGACTTGCACCATACAACCAGCAGAAATCGTGCATGAACTTGAAAATAGATATGAAGTATAATGTTCAAAAGGTATGTATTTCTAGAGGAGAAATCATGGACCACCAATAGAAGATCTTCGCACCAAAAAACATCCAATCAAACCAGCAATGTATGTAACATGGACACCCGGATATCCGGTTACGATAAATACCATATATCCGGATAATATGTACTGACAAACCCTTTCAAGCGCGGGATACGTGGCAAGAATCTCACGAACACGGACCGCAATGCCATCCTCCATCGGCACTTGTCACGCCGCAATCATCGACTCATAGATCGACGAACTTGCCTAAGAGACAGCGTTGACGATTGAACTGAGAGAATTTGCTCCCAACGAGCTTCTTGTGGTTCGAAGCAATCCTGATGCGGACGACTATTTTGATGACGATGATGACCCCGACGACGTAGAAATTGACCTCGACGAGCTCTTTGGTACTTTGTAAATAAATGTCCTTTATCTTGTAGCAAACTTTGTCGAACTTCAATAATTGAGTTTGTAGCAAACATTTTACCTGACCATATGCATACTGTACCCTATCCGTACAATTTGTATGGATAAAGACATATGTACACAGTTAAAGGTTTAAAAGTGGGCATAAATTGGTTCTCAAAACTAGAACAAACATGCTTGGAAAGTCAGCTTGACAGCTTTTTGTAATAGAAGTACAACTTGAAATCTAATAATTCAATTATGAAGTGAAATCCCTGTGTTCGGTTGATAAGAATCACTTGACAAAATGGAGATACGCGAATTCTACGATGACTAACGTTACTCCGAAAAAGTAATCATAAATTGGTCATTTACATTAGTCGACTTACATGCCTTCCACTAAAAAGAAAATGTGTTCCTATATTGGTCTCTTATGTTAACGATACTACAGTTGGTGTGGCCAGAGAATTAGTTTGCCGCGCTCTGGTGCATCAAGTCCATGAAATGTTGTCGCCAAGACAAGAACCACGCATACGACTGTCGGATTATTTCGCGCCGCACGTGTGCGTCCTTCTGGTCGACTTCGATGCCCGTCACATCGATACCCACCAATGCTGCTAGCTCGTCCACACTCACAAACCCGGTGGCGGGTCGAAATATGTGGGACACACGGCCGACTAAGCGCACCAAGATGTGTGTTGGCGATACTTGCCGAACCTCGGTCCTACATGCAACGAAAAAGCTGAGCCTTTGTCCAGAACAACCCCCGAAGTAACAGTAAATACGCACCATAACAAGTCATGCTGCTGCTTCTGGAGGGGGTGGCATATATATGTTTCGTCGTGTTCGACTTGCCGCATGACCATGATGAACCGGTCGGCTTCGACGAAGTGTCCTTGGAGCAAGTTCACGAACGTTCCTTTGGGCGTGGTCTTGTGAAACAGGCGTGTGTTGGCTGTCACCTCTTCCACCACCTAACCAAACACAAACGTCAGGTTGACCCTCCATTCGTCCGACTAAGTACTTGCCGTTTCGTCACAATTGGGGAAATTCACCGCCTTCATGTTGGTCTCGACCAGACGTCGAAACATTTGCACCGTTCCTGGCCACGTGAACTGTATGCTTTCCAAGCCCACAAATGATTTGTCTTCGTCCGACGCTTCCAAGTCAAATTGGTAAAACTCCTCGTCATTTCTCACGGCAGGAAGCAACGCTAACGGCTCGTGCATGTTGTGGTACATTTGCTGCGTGAGCCACTCCTTGCCCAGGTTTCGAACCCTCGGGTCGGCCACCAACGTCGCACTGCGCCACTCGTTGCTGCGGGACATCGGCGGCTACATGCACATACGCAATGATCTCACTCGCCTGCCTCTATGGAAATGTGAAGACGCACCGGAATGTTCATGACAAAGCGTCGCATGGCCTGCATGAGGGATTGATACTCTTGCGTTTGAGTGACCAGGGACTGGCGGTCCTTCAAGACCCGGTGGACTTCTCCTTTGAACTCGGCGGCAATGGAATGCCAGGACAACGGACCATATATTTCTTTACGCGGCGCCATGGACAGCGGCCTGGCTGCTTGAAGGCCATCAAGGACCGACTGAAGGTGCACGCACTGCGCTATGGCAATCGCCCGATCAGCATTCAACTTGCGGCGATGCTCGCGCTGCTTCTCTCGTAAGTACTGACGCCGAGCGAGAGTTTTGTGGGCAACCTCGTACGTGGAGGCGCGTTCGTTGGACGACATGCTTGCCTGAGTTCTGCCGATACGTACGATGTGCAACGTGACCTTTGCGTGGAGACATAGGATGACTGCCAAATACTGGTATCTTGCAAGCAAAACAAATTTTCTTCCGGTTGAATCTGAGACATTTTTGAAATAGAACCACGCTCGCATTTTGTGAAGACGAAAAAATAGTCTTTGCAAACATTGCATATTTGCGAGCGAACCTCTCGCATCGACACTGTAAAATTTGATATGATCGAAATACATTTTCAAAGGCTTTGGCATCGTGCACAAATTTTCCCGCAATCTCACCGGGTAACGAAGGCAGGTCGAGCCAAGTCGTGGAATGCCTCGATTGCCACCCATCGACGTCGGTTAAAAAAATACACGTTATCCGGACTCGCAAATTTGTATGCGAGAGGCACTTGCGAGATATTTGGCAGTCATCCATTTTATGACTCTACTGTATTTATCGTACATACTACTAGTAACGTTAGTTAGTATGCATCTATTCTTGGTTTGACAGTGGTTGAAGGCATCGAGGGTATAAGTATACGTAACGCAAGATCAAAAATGCTTTTTTCTTTGAAATTGTGTATGTCCTCTGAACGTCTTGGGACGATAAAAACATTCTTTTGATGTCACATCTGAAAAATGATATTCTATGAGATACGTTACAATCAATGAAAGTCCAAACTCTTTCAATAACACTACATAACCTCTACACACTAATATATTGGATATGCGTAAGCTAATATTTATAATACATTGACAATATTCTATCACCTCCATATATTAATACCTTTCGATGGAGAGCCCCATTCCAATTTCGAATCGACTTGACAATACTACGTAACGTGACGGATCTGTGATTTGCCGAAAAATCAGTGATTTGCTGACTTACGATTGGAAATACGATTGGAAATCGTAAGACGACATGTACACGTCATAATCCAGAAAATGACATGAAATATGGGCGAAAATAACGGCATCGTAATGCACGACGCATTATATTTTCGATTTGTTGACTGTGAAAACAAATTGGCCAGGATTTAATAAATTTCACTTACAAATGCCTAGTGATTAAATTTGAGACACTATTTGTTCAAGCGAATGAAGAAAACGTAATGCATGGTGCATTATATTGTTCCTGGCGAATTAAAAGCGTCGAAATTATGATTAATCAGACCAATGAAATCGATATGATTGCAAGTTCTTTTATGGCTCGCCAGCAAGATTTCACCATCGCCAGAGCTCGGCGCAATCGCATTTCTGCACAGACACAAAGTGGTTACTCGTCGGGTATCAACCAAGTCAAGAAATGAGTGGTACTTGTGGGGCTACACGACCTTCTCGCACCGTGCGCGGAGAGCCGCGACGGAACCACGCTTGACCTCCATGCGTTCCACTACGAGCACTTCCTCGATTTTATTGAGTGGACTGTTCAAAACAAAGACGTTGAGGCGGGGACACTGAGCGGGTATCGCAATGCGATCCAGAGCCTCTACAAAGACCAGGGTGTTCCAGTGCCACTTGAATACGGAGAAGACATCAAGGAAGTGTTTTCAGGTACACATGTCGTCATTTTATAGCAATAACAGCATTATTTAGGACTACGCAAGACTGTAGCCTAAGACCTTCAGGCTGGTGCCAAGCTAACCGAGGCAAACGACCAATGTCATTTGCTGTGTTCGAGACGTTGTGCTTGTTACTGTTCGACGGGGGATTTGCACACCTTTTCCTAATCCTATCTTGGAATCTTATGTGTAGATTAAAATCGACTGAAACAGTTCGGTAGTTACTCGAAGTGCCATTTTAATTCTTTCACATAGTACTGCAGGTTCGATCACATGTCATGCGAGGACGACAGCATTGGATTCACCTTTTTTAAGACAAAGACAAATCAAGAAGGTTCGATCAGTGTCGTGTACTATGTAGTAATGGTGTCTAGATTAATTAAGTGTTCATAAGGAACCAAAAACAAGGACCCCAAGCGCTGCTATGCAAACCCCTTCAAACCAGCGATATGCCTGTATGTCGCCCTCGGTGTGTATCTGTCATGTAATAGTCGCATTACACCGACAGAGTTATTTCCTGGTGCAAATCAAAAGGTGTTTATCATATTTAATTCCCTATTTAACAATTAATATAGGATCGTTTCGGCAAATCATTCGCTGCGTTAGTCGAAACGCCAAAAACTGGAGCGAAGAAAGACATCGAGACCCACTCGATTCGAAAAGGAACTGCTACGTTTGTCTCCTCTGGCAGCACTGGTGGTCCATCTATTGTCAGCGTATGTCTGCGTTGTGGGTGGTCAATGTCATGGAACGTTATTTCGGTACGAAGCCGCCGGGGATCCGTTCACTGGTCGCGTTGTTGCCGGGGTGCCGATCAACAGCTCTGATTTTGCGGTCCTGCCGCCTCATTTTCGAGACCCCAGTGCCACGGTGGTGCTTTCAGCCCTCCAAGTCGTGTTCCCCCTGCTCGCCCCCAACACACCGACCTTCATCCAGTGCTGCAGTTGGTATTGGCCAGCTTGGTTATCATCATGGGTATTTGGAGAGTGTGTTGCCTCCACGTCATGCCATGCGCTCGACTACGCTATTCACCAACGGTACGATGCAGCGTGAACTACTCGGGTGTGTGCAGTCTAGCGATGGGTCGCCATGGTTTCGTCCGAGTGGCATACCCCCTTTAGTCGAAATGTACAAACAATTGCAACGGAACGATCAGACCTTGGCCCTAATCCCGGAAACGATTTGAAAGGTGTGCGTGAAAACGTGGACGAGGACGGCGTATGTGCTGGTAACATCACTCGCACCGTACTGGAATCGTCCATTACTAACGTCATGTCTCGGGTCAGTCAATCATTTGGACAGTCCATTGTCCCCACTATCACACACAATGTCCGTCCCACTGTCAGTGAATACAAGGTGTTTCATTGGGGCGGCAAGTTTCACAAACTACTCGATGATTTCACTTTTCCCAGCGTGAATACCGCAACGGCCTGGAACTTGTGGCGGTGTGGCAACAGCAGTCAGAACATTATCCCGTACCGCCGAATCATTACTCAAGATTTGACAACTCGAGCACACAAGAACACGTCAGCAGGATGGGACGAAGTACAGTCGACCATTTAATAAACGAAAGCTTACCTCACCTAAGGAGCCACCAGCGCTGCGGAGGTCGTTGCTGCTTTGAGTCGTGTGGAGTCGGCGGCGCTGGAGTGGTCCTTGTGGCGTTGAGTCTCGTCCCTACTACATAAGTACATGTAAATGAATGTGACATTGATGCTCACAGTGCGGCGTCGAGACTGTGTGATGCGTTTTCTCCCGTCTTTATCGAAGCTGTTGTGGTCAAGGCAGGCATAGACGCTGTGTGTTTGGTGTGGAGAAGAAGGCAAAATGGGCATTGAGCTCACAAAGTAATTTTATGTCCAATCAAAAACACCGTCAACATGTATTGGCCAAAATTACGAGTATCGTGGTACATGCATTGCGATTTCCAACCACAACACAATTTATTTTGTCCAGTAAATGATTTAATCCACAGTGATTCGACATCATCGAAATTGTGCATTGTTCACAGCACTTTCAAAACAGATAGCATCTGCCGACATGAAACCCTCCACGCCCCCATCACCACAACACCATTCGAAGTACTATCTCGTATCAAGTATGGACAATGGTAATCTATTACACAAGCACATTGGACGACCTCGCGCGATTCTTGGACGGTGCCTGTTGCCGGCCCACCGATGTATGATGCTCGTGAACCAGCCTAGAGAGTGTGAGGACCTTTAGCTGACCTTCACGCCGGTGGTGTTTACGAGTTGACTGGTAGTAACGAAAGTCCAGTCCCCGCTTGGCTACGGCGAACACCTCCACAACATCGAATTCGGTAGGATCTCATCTCAACTTTCGTCCTGTTGACCGATCGTAGTGGGCTTACATTTTGTCCATCGGCATCTTGTATGCTGAGAACGCCACCTGGTCAGAAGTTTACGGTATGATCTCACACAGATGCTAGGATTTCCAAGTCACCACGGCCGCCACGCAGATGTAATGTCGACGCTCGGCAAAACAAACGAATCAGGTACTTGATGAAATGTACCACCCCATTCTATTGGCTGATTGGATTCGGTTTTACTGGAATTTCCTGGGGTAGCGGTTTGACATTTGGGTTGGAGCGGCTGCCGATAAAACGAAGCCGTAAAATTCCAATACTGAATTCAAGGTTAAATTTGGGCAAATCACCGAGCGCCTGTTTAAGCCCCTAACTTTGACATTTTATTTTCCCTGATTCAAACTCTTACACTTGAATTGTATTCGGAAGATGCTATATAGCTAAAAAAGAGAGTTCGGCACTGCAACTTTTACGTCTACCGTATACCTTATGGATCAGTACCCATGATTTTGCCTTATCGAGTTGTACCCAAATTGCTGTATGGTGTCAATAAAGTACGATTTCATGGTACCTTGCAGGGCTGTACCCAAGTCGCTTTATATTGGTCAAAAATGTACAATCTCGTTCTAGCCAATTAAACAAGTCGAAAGAGTAGGAGTACAGGCGGCGACGGAATGTAAGGGGCACCTACAGCTTCGAAATTATGACAACTTGAGCTGTGATTGGCCAAACTACTTCGAAATTCGATCAATTTTCCGGCCAACCAAAAGGCAGGTACGTAGAATTTTGAACGTGAAGTTTTTTAATTTGATTGATTTGATGCAGCGATTTGATGCAGCGACATCAAAGATAAGCGTTTGACGCGATAGCGCAGTGGTAAAACACGTTGTGTGTCTTGAGTGAGCCCCGGGTTCGAGTCCCGGGCGCGTCGAACTTTTTCTTATCACTATAGTATACAAATTTCAAGATACATGTGTACACAATCGGGTGTAATCAATGCCCAAGCCTTAATGGCTCTATGAATCATAACAAGACGCTTTTGTTGCGCCGGGACAGTCATCAAATCTACATCTAGATCGCTATCACTACCTTCAATCAACTCTTCTTGCAGCCACAAATTGCGCAGGTGCCGCTTGAACGGTGCCATGATTCCAACGTCGAGGGGCTGGACGGCACTTGTCGCATTCGGTGGGATGGCCGCCACTTCGCAGCCACACTCCTCGCTCGCAATCTTCAGTCCTTGCGGGCTCACGTGGGGGTCGAAGTTATCAAGCACCAGCACCGTGGGCTCATAAATCCGTGGCTTGAGGACCTTGCGCAGATAGAACGCCCAGACGCGCTCGTCCATCCACGCGCTCTCCTGGACAGAGTAGAAATGTCCGATGGGATAAGAGTCGAATTCACCTTGCTCGATACGACCACCAGGCTCGCCGCGCAGGATAAAGTGAATGGGCAGCTTGTCCCCATTCGCACGCACCGTCAGAACAGCCGTCATTCGGTACGAATGCTTTTCACCGCTTGAGATCTTGGACGAGCCGCCACGAACAGCCCAAATCGCATGCGGCGGCATGTCGTAGTGCATTCCGGTCTCGTCCACGTTGATGATGGCGTCACGACTGAAGCCATCGAAGGCCAAGTTGAACTCTTTCGCAAATGCAGTACGCGTCGCGTCCAGTTCGACTTGAGTTCGCTTGGCCTTCGATGGCTTCTGTCGTGAGAAGCCGTGGTCGCTGCAGAACCGCTGTAGGAGCTTGAGCAGGGACTTGTAGCCGCTTGTCTTGTTCGCCAGGTATCGCTCGAGCCAGTCCTTGTTGTTGCGCTTGAGGAAGTTGACCAAGTGCGTGCATGTCAAGGCCTTCTCGGCGTCGCGGCGCTTGTGCATGAAGATCTCGAGGCCGTCGGAGTCGGGAATGCAGTTGGGGCGCCCTGCTCCGTGGAGGTGGAAGCGTTTCATGTTACCCTCAAAGTTGAGGATGGCGTCCGCTTGTTGCTTCCACCTTGCAAGGTTGCTGTTGGGGATCCCCGTCTCAGCCTCCAGCTGGCGTGTAGAGGCCGATTCCATTATGAGGATAATTTCCCGTTTCTTCGCGTGGTTGTAGCGCCTCCGCGACTTCTTCTGAGGACTTATCTTGCTGCGCGGTGGAGATCGCATTCGAAAATGAGTGAAGCATGGTCCAAGAGCGCGTGGTAGCGCGCGAATTTAAAATGTTTTCCCGCTTACTTAATTTTTATCCAATCATATTGCAGTATTCTTTGTAGTTAGATTTGATTGGTTAATTTAATGTGTGCAACAACAAAAACTTTGATGCCCCTTAAATTCCGTCGCCGCCTGTAACCAATCCAAACGCATTGGAAAGAAATCAGACCACCTTATTGAGTTGTATCCATTTCGATTAGATTTTACTGACATTTTCGGGGGTACAGATCCATAAGGTATATGGTAGATCATTTGAACTTGGCCAGATGTGGTCGATTGAATCGAGCTCAAAATCGGCAAATCATAGATCCGTCACGTTAGTATTATTCTAATACTATCAATACTGTTGGAGTATGTAGTATAGTGTAGGCAATTTCTGCTAACGACTGGCTTAGGCCGAGTCTGGATGCCACTGAAAAATCTACTACGTAGTATGTCATATAATATTCTGACAGAGTATTCCCTTTTCAAGTGGGAGGTGAGAAAATATTTTCAAATTATTTTGATGTGATGCCATGATGGAATAGGGGGAGTCAATTTAGGAAAAAAAATCAATTTTCGCTTCTGCTTATCACTTTCTGCTTTTCGTCACGAAAACCAAAAGCAACTTGAAGTTCATGTAACGATGAAAATACCCAATCATCGCAGTCTATTCCATGGCATACAAACACGAAAACGCAGCGCCAGTCACCAATTGTCAACCGAGAGCCGAAACACGAAAACGGAGCGCCAGTCACCAATTGCCAACCGACAGCTCAAGCCGCAAGTGACGAAATCAGGTGTCTAGCGAGCTTAGGACCATGATGAGTTATAGTAGAAGCATACCTAACTACTTCGTCGTCGAATAAGACGACCGTGCAGTGTGGGTCGTAATCGAGGTGTTCAAATTGGACACCGCCATTCGAGAGCCTACGACAACGAGAATCCCAACCCTTCCTACCTGACGTCACCCCTCTTTTGAGTGCGGATACAGTGTATTATTAATAGTACACTGCATGAATGACTTTCGAGGGCCAAATTGACTCCACATAGCTTTTCGTGGAAGTTAATAAAAATACTACGTAGTACAAAAGAATATAAATTTGCTTTTCACAATCGAACGAAAAGCAGAAATTTCCTAAATTGACTCCCTCTACTATGGAATGAGAACTGACTTATCGATAGAATATCATGTTTGTAAAAAATTGGACAGTTGCAGTTCAAACATTTTCTGAAAACAGTAAAAACTCGACATATTAACGGTATGTCACTTTGTATATGTCAGATTTACAGTTGTAGTATTGTGCTTTTCACTCGTTTTGGCTGGGTGTTTGTTACATCGACCCCAGTGTTTTACTGTTAGATAATCGGTACCGTTTTTGCACATTTGAAAAGTGCAAATCGGAGTTATATCTACTATTCTCGGGACCAAATTGCACAATTCACTGGTCAGCATAAACAACTTTTGATATTACAAATGTCACACAGCGAGGACAAGCGCTGGAGTTCTACCGTACGTATGGTGCCACATCGTAGAAAACCACGGCATCTTCTTCTTCCATCGCATAGTACATGCAGGTAGCGTGTACTACGCGATGGAATTAATAGCCAAGGTGTTTTGGTCACTTCAGAATCACATGTGATTATTATTGCTCAGAGTTATTTGGCATTTATAAAACTCCAGTGAATTAGCTAAAACACCAGGTATTTATTCAACTTTGTAACACAGTTACAGCAGAAGTACCACTCTTTTAGCCACGTAAAACCGACGCCAAAACAAGTGCAAAGCACAATAGCAGCAAACACACAAAAGCTGTCGTTGATAAATTGTCATAATATTTCTGAAAAGTTGCAAAACGAGGTGTTTTCTGACATTTTTTGTGGCAGCCAGAGTGGCCCCTACACATTTAATTTTCTTGAATCATGCACTTGCACACGACTGGAATCGCATTCTCGCATTCTACTCTTCCAGGTTTGAAGTCCAACAACTGCGCAATTGATTGAGGAAGATGCCAATCCTTCAAAATGGCAAATAACGTTAAAAGTAACGTTAGTGCTGATTTCGTTTTCAGGCTGAACTCGATTTGATTCTACCGTATGATGAACAATGTACTACCGTAACCGTATCGTTTGAGGAACGGAAAGTTGATCATTTCCCGCAGCCTCTTGTAGTAATTACTTCTACTACTAGAAGTACTACTAAGCTTAGTACTAAGTCAGTACAGTACTAGTACTAAGTTGCTTGAAACAACTTATGGTTACTGTAGTACTGTACTACAGTAAGTACCCTGTGGACAAGGAAACCCCAACCCCCATGACGTTACTTTTGATGCTTGACTCGCACGGACCCTTTGCCTTCGAGGACACCGTAGCATGGGACGTACACAAACGACTGCTGGAAAACCGCGTCCAACACGGCCCACGTGTCGTCGTCAGAGTTGCCTTGGGGATTCAAATCGCACACCTTGTACGACGTCGACGCCACGATCGTAATGTGCATCTTCTTGCCGGCAAACACGAGCAGCGGGGGCTCTTCTGCCGCCACACGCTGGTCCTTTCCAAACAAGTGGAGCGCCGACGCGGACTTGCCTTCTGTCAGGTCGTCCACGGCAGCGGTTGCAATGGCGCCCCCAGACAAGTGGCGGACGTGCCCGCCGCCGGAGGACCGAGGACCCCCGGTGCTACAATTGCGTCATGTATGACATTACCAGACAAGTTCGTACATGTCTCTTGGCCAATGATCTGTCACATCGCCGTCGGGGACATACTGGGACACGGCGGGGCACGGATCATGCAGAAACACGTTGATCTCGAGGGGGTCGGCTTCCAGTTGGTTGGGACACAGCACATTCTACGAACATTCGTCGCAACTTCAACCCCACCTCCCATTCAATCTCGTACCAACGACGGGTTGTGATAGAGGAACTCGACAGCTTCGTACGTGTCGCCGCCCGACTGCGTGCGGTTGCAGCTAAGCAGCAAGCTCCGCACGATGGCCAGCGCTTGGGCTTCCGTGAGCTCCTTCTGATCCTCCACGTCGTGCTGGCTTTGCACTTGCATGAACACCCGCGTGAGCGCCCCCAGCACACATTCGCTGCCGTCAGCGCCGCTGAACACGCGGCTGTTGATCTTCACTTTGTCTCGCTCCAGGTCTTTGAACACCTGGTCCATGCCGCACCGACCTCGGGGGTGACGGGCCACTTGCTCCTGCTTGTGGATCCATTCCACGGGCATGTGCAGCTCTCGCTTGGATTGTCTACACCAGACAATCTCGGGTTTGTTCATTGTCACCAATGTCGTCATCACCGTACTGCAGTGTTCGCAGGTAGGAACATTTGTCCGTGGCCGCTTGCACGTGTCGTCGTAGCAAAATACACTCGTAGCAGTCCCCTAGGACCAAAATAGTAGTATGGCGTGATGAAAGTCGCTGGCTTATAAACTGGCGATTACACCAGCATATGTTACCGTCAAAGCCACTGCCACGAGCCAACACGTGGTACTGTGGCTCGTTGATCACGGCTCGAATGGCGTGCACCCATACTCGTCGCTCTTGCTCCGACTTGGCCATCCACACGAGCTTGGCCTTGGACGCTTTCGTCGAGTTGTTGTCGGTCGCGATCAGCTCAAACGCGAATTTGTGTTGGAAGCGCTGGCTGAGAACTTCGCGGCAGACGAACCGGACGAGCGCCACGTGCTGTGCCTTGTCCATGTGGTCCGAGTAGTACGTAAGTGATCCCCGAGTGAGCACGACATACTTCTTGGAGCATGACCGGAGCGAGTTGTCCTTGGCTTTCCGCAAGTACCCTGCTAAGAGCGTGTCTGGCGGAAGCGATAGGCGCGGCGCCGCGGCAAACTCGGTGGACAGCGATGACCGCTTGTCTTCGAGGAGTTGGATGGCCGCAGCGAGGAACATACTCTGGTAGTTGACCCGCGGCGGCGACGATGACGACGACTGCTGCGGCGGGTGGAGGTCCGACGACGTCGACGAAGCAGAGCCATCGGAGTCGGGGTTAATTTTGATGCCTTCGCTTAGATCCGTGTCGTCGTCCAAGATCAATCCTGCTCACAACATGACAGTGGTGTTGGTGGTTATATGGGAATGAGGTTGGGGTACGTACGGAAGCCATGTAGTGACGCTTTGCGCCGTATTCGGGGAGACTTTGGAGGGGATGCTGTCGATACTTCTGGCTTCGCCTCAACCTTAGCCTTGTCGCGATTGCGTTCGAAGTGCTGCATTGCTGCGTCGTGGCGCCGCACCTCGTCGGCCAGGTCTTGATTGAGCCGCGCTAGTTCAGGCAGAAGGATTCCCTCCGCCTTCATGGCATTGACAGAAGCCATGTGGTCAGCTATAGACCGCGGCTCGACTTTGGACGCGAGGGCCAGTAAACTCTCCACGGTTAGCAGCATGAAGCTGTACAGGTACACCGAAAGGACGCGGAAGAGTGATCCAAAAACGGAAAACTCCAATGGGTATCCGAATATACCGGATAACGCAATTTGAAAGCGCAACAACGATGGCACACGGCGCCAACGAGCAGGCGGTGATGAGGCTGGTCTCCACGCTTCTGCTTCAACCGCATGAAAAGACGACTATCATGCTTGCAGAAGAACTGGCAAAGCTACCTCGTGGCGATTACATGTGGATGAACGTTCTCCTTCTTCATGTATACCAATTGTTGATGCAGTCCACGGCCGCCGCGGACACCAGACCTTCAACTGTCGAGCGCTTGGTGGTGGTATTGGAGAAAGCACTGGTGATCAGCAACATCCAAGCCATACAAGAGTCGCACACTCAGTGCTTCAAACTGCTCCAATGGTACACATCAACCGTCTGATATCAAGTAGTACTCCTCCTCACCACATCTGTGGTAGTCTGTTGACATTGCTACCGGCAGCTGCCACTGACGATATAGTGTCACGCTGTGGCGATCACCTCACTGACGAAAGCCGTCTAGTCGTCCTCCACTGCCTCGAACTTCTCGTGACGGCGCCATTTCCACTGCCGTTCCTCGCGTCGTCCGTCCCTTTTGCCGCGTTTATCGTTCGTCCCCTCGTCCCTATAATGTCTCCCTCTCAACCATGTATATCTTCGTAGGTATCGGTGCTGCTCTTTACTGCCCAGAAAGATCCCAATCGAACATGCCGAGTCCACGCGTTGCGCACGCTGACGGCGACCATCACTTCAATCGACGACGCGGACGTCCTCACCCAAGTGTTTCCAGGCCTCATGAGCGCGCTCTTTATGATCGTACAGGGCGACTACAAGCTCGGGTCAAGACTCCCCACACAGGCTATTCGATGCCTCACGACGTCCATGAAGCTGGTGGTGGCCGACTCGCGGTGTTCGTCGCTCGTGACATCGCCAGTCTACTCGCTGGCCTTTCTCGACCCAAACATCTCTACTCCTTCAACCCTTTCGCCCACGACGATAGCTCCAACATCCTTCGCCGACCAATCAAACGGCCTCGTCCCTCGATCGCCGGCGTGGCTCCGCGGCACCCAGACCAATCTCCACACCCTCATCACGTACGTCTGCAGCCACCAGGTCCACCACTCCAACGCCGCCATCCGCCAAGCGCTGGCTTCGTTCTGCGCGGAGCTGCTCGAACATTGCCGTCTCACGCTCCCGTCGGCCTTTGTTCCATGCTATGAGACACTGCTCGCACTGTCGCAGGACCCCGTCGCAGCAGTCCACGCTGTCGCATGGTCGGGCCTCGCCACAATTCACGCAAACTTGTCTCCATCAGAGCAAGTGCTTGTGCACACCAACGCCAGCGCCCAATGCATGGCGCACCTGGACGCGTTGAAGCTAAAGTGCGCGGCGGCGTCGCTCGACTTGGAGCGCGAGGCGGTTACGACGCTGCAAGTGTGCCTGGGCTACGTCACGTCGTCGCAGGCGAAATGGGTGGTGGACGTGCGCCGGGTGCTCAAAGCGTGGACAAGGATCTTGGCTGTGGATGCATTGGACGCCCAAGTGTTGGCGTACACATCTCATAATACCAAGTGCAAAGTGGCGTACTATCGCAAACGTTTCGAGCATTTCCGATCGGACGAGGCGGTGGCGGTGGCGCTGCGGGTCGTCCGGAGCTTTGCCGCGACGGATGATGGCCACCTGCTGGCGTACGTCGACGCTATCGTCGCGCACGTGAGCGACTATCCGGAGGTTCGAATGAATGTTAAATACATTGTTCCTGGTTGGGTTGTTTGTTGTGCTTAGATTCAGTGGAATGGCTAGGATTCGCTGGAATGGCTGATTGTGCTCAACCAACTGGTGCTGGGAGCCGCGCAGGTAGTGGATGATGATGTTCCTTCCCCTGGCATGGCCCAAAACGAGGGGCTGACTGTCCACGTTGGCGCGTATCTCGTGGACGTGGTGCAGCAGTTGCCGTTGTGGTCGAGTAGCTACGACGAGAGCTTGAGCGTGGTCCTGGAAATCGTCGGCTCGATCGCCCAAGCCCTCGGCGTAGCCTTCCGGCCGCTGCTGATGCATGTGCTGTACCCCCTCGTGGAGCAGCTGGGGCGTCCGTCGCCCGTCGTCCAGCAGGCCGCGCTAGCCACCCTCGAGCGCATCGCATTCTTTTGCGACAGTCAGTCCGTGTCTGCGTTGTTGCAGGCCAACATGGATTACGTCGTGGATATGCTCGTGAGTCGCCTGACCCAGTTGGACGAGTACCCGCACACGCCGTTTGTGGTCCAAGGGCTGCTGCGACACGGGGGGAGCAGTGTCACATCTCCCCCCCTGCCGCTCCTGGAGGAAGCGGTGGCCGGCGTCATTCGCAGCGTCGACTTCCACGTGGCAACCCCCCAGCACGCCCTTGGCCTCCTGCGTGTCATGAAGGTGGTCGTGTCCAACGAACCAAAGCAGAAACCACCAGCAGTAGAAACACAAGACAAACCAACGACGAGCTCGGCGTCTGGGCCACGAGTCACCACGTTTATCCAGGACATGAATGCCCTCTTCCAGCTACCACCACCATCCGATGACCACACTGCCTTGCATCCTACAGGCGAAACGGCAAAGTCGTCTACAAGCGACAACGGTAGTAGTGTACATGGAGCGATGCCGATTGAACACGATGAGCATCAAGACGACGCTGCGGATACCCCGCCCAAGGGCATGGCCAAGCTCGTGGAAGACATTGTGCTTCGATCGACGTACTTTACCGCTGCCCCGGACACCGCCACCGCCTGCCTGGCGTGGCAAGTGCTCACGGATGCCCTCGCCGCCGTCCGCCCGCAGCACCTTCGTCCGCTCGTGCACCGCATCTGGCCACAACTGGCGCACCGGGTGGGCGACTCGAGCCACAAACCCAAACATCTGGCCGCCGTCCAATGTATCAGCGCTGTCGCAGGGCTCTGTGGGGACTTTATCTCAGACAAGTTTGTCGAGTCCGTCTGGCCCACCTTCCAAACCCACTTGGCTCAACACGCCGTGCCCGCGCAGTCGACCGCCGTGGTACTCGACAACGTTGTCACATCTAGTACGACTACTACTAGTAGTACTAGTTCGTTGCAACGGCCGACGGCCCTGACCGACCAGATCCACTTGCACATGCTCGTGTGCCTCGAGCGCCTCTGTCGCGCCACCGACGCCGTGGCCTTCCTAGTCCCCGACATGGCCACTGCCGCGCAATCCTTCCTCGCGTCATCCGCCCCGCCGCCGCTGCAAGAGCAGGCCGTCGCGCTGTTTCAAGCGCTGATCCGCCTCAATGCCGACTTGATCTTCCCCCGAGTGGCGTATATGGCGTCGTTGCCACTCCCGCCGCCGCCGTCCGTCCACTTCCCCGCGTACGCACCGGACGCCCTCGATCGGATTCCGGACCGAGTGCCGCGTCCGGCTTTGTTTGCACAGAACGCCCGCATCCTGGTGCAGCAGCTGCTGCGACCTCCTGCCACCGACTGACGATTTGCTTTACATAACATGTCCTCCACTGTACGATACGACGTAGTTAGTATATGTGTTGCCTTGTAACACTATTATTCGTTTAATCCATGTCTTCGCCTTGGGCCCCGGTAGACGCGGCACCCGCGCCGACCGCCGCCGCGAGCTCTTCTGCTTCTTGCTTGGCTTCCAACTCGGCGAGGATGGCATCGTCCTCTTCGGCCGCCGCTTCCGCCGCGTCGACAATCGCGTCCACATCCACCACGCGACTCGAGTCGCTCGACACGACCAGAGCCTTGCTGCCGCCCTCGGCATTCCGAACATGCGCCTTGACCGTCAGCTGGCCTTTGCGGGTCACATTGAACGACACTTCGACCTCGGACTCGCCCTTGGGGGCCGGCGGGATGCCGCTCAAAGTCAAGTTGGCCAGCAACGTGTTGTCCTTCTTTAGCACTCGCTGGCCTTCATACACCTGCAGGTACACGGCATCTTGGTTGTCAGCGTTCGTGGTAAACACTTCTTGAACGTTGGCGGGGAGGACCGTGCCGCGGTGGATCATCTCGTACACGGTGCCGTCCGCCAACCCAAGCGACAGCGTCAGGGGCACCGCCTCGACATTGTTGTGGGGGTCGGTGGGGAGCGTCCAGTCGGCCGTCTCGGACAGCGTCGCACTTTCGACGGTCGCGCCGAACGCAACCGCCTCGTCGGGGGCGATGGACACGAGGGCCTTCTTCCCGTCAAAGAAGTCTTCGACGGCGGATTGCGCCTTGGGGATGCGGGAGGACCCGCCCACGAGCAGCACATGGTCGATCGTGTCCTTGGCGTACCCTGCGCCGTCCAACAGCGCCGCGATATCCTTGGTCACCTTGCGGACGTGGTCGCTGACCATGTCTTCAAAGCGGGATCGAGACAGCTTAACGATCAAGTCTTGGCCGTCGGCTAGCGAGTCCACTTCGATAGTCACTTGGGACTGCGTGGACAGCGACTTCTTGGCTTGCTCGCTCGCCACCTTGACGCGGTGCAGCGCGCGAGTGTTGTCGGCGGCGATTGTCACCTTCTTTTGGCGTTCGAACGCCTTGACGCAGTGCTCCACGATCGAGTTGGTGAACACTTCGCCGCCCAACGCGTGGTCGCTCGCTGTCGCGATCACGTTGAACAGGCCCTTGTCGATGCTCAAGAGCGTCAAGTCCGTGGACGCCCCGCCAATGTCGACCACCACGACCAACTTGGACTCGTTCTTCTTGTCTTCGTCCAATCCGTACGCAATGGCGGCGGCGATGGGTTCACTGATGTAGCGCAACACACTCAAGTCCGCGGCGGTCGCGGCTTCCTCCAACAGAGCCTTTTGCTCGTCGGAATAGCCTTCCGGGACAGTCAGCACGGCGTTCTTCACGACCACACCCGTGTAGTCTTCGGCCAACGCCTTGAGTTTGCGCAGCACGATCGTGCAAAATTCCACCGACGAGATGTCGCGGGATCCGTCCAGAATCTTGGCAATGGGCGCGCCATGCGTGTCCGCGGCCAAGTCGAAGCTCCAGTCCTTGACGTAGTCGTGCTCATGAACCTCCTTGTGCTTCTTGCCGAGCACACGCTTCAAGTGGTACACCGTGTTGGCGGCGTTGTTGTGGAGTTTCGCGACCGCCGAGTCGCCCACCACGACGTCGTCGCTGGCGAAGGACACGATGCACGGCGTGGTACGAAAGCCTTGGTCGTTCGCGATGACGGACACCTTGCCGTTGGCCCACACACCCACGCACGCATGCGTCGTGCCAAGATCGATCCCAATGCTCGCCATGATGAATTCGAGTGGTGAAGAGCGGAGGTTCAAAAATACCTCAGTTCGTGTTACAGGCGAAGTTGGACACTTGATATTTGTATTGCATTCGAAGGACATGGAATCGAAGTTGTTTTAACTTCGATTTTGGCCAGCGCTGTTAATCGCCACCCAATTCCACCATGATGGAGGAGGCTCAAAACGCATCCATTGAATGGGACTCTCGTGGACGGAACACCCTGGAGAATGGAGCATGAGGTGGAGGCTAGGAGAAAGGCAGTGCGCCAATGGACCTGTGGTGCGACTGAAGTGCGGAACCTGCATGAAGCCGATCAACTGAAGTATCGATCGACAAATGATGGATAGCATGTATGGTTGTCCCAAGTGACATATACGGGGTACAATGGAGGCTGCGCTGTGACGACGACATATTGAGCGAGCAAATGCCGTTAAGGACGGATAGATGGAAATGGATTGATTAGGTGGTCGTTTATGCCTTCTTCTGGACGATCAAAGGGCCGAGGTTGTCCCCCGTGGCTTTGTTGTGCTCATTGTGCGCACCGTCGCAAAACGGAAACTACATATTTGTGAGTACTTTCTTTGACAATGAAATCAAGTTGAAGCACGTACTTTCTTGGACTTCCAGCAGCGACACAAGACACATTTAAGCGAGCCCTTGGTGAACATGTCTTCGATGTCACATGTGTCCACCACTTTTTCCTTCTCCAGCGCAATGGATGTGTTAACACGACGCGAAGGCTTCTTGCTCCCACCAAAGAGGCTCAACGCGATCGTCGCTAGCAGCACAATGACGGCAACGAGAAACGGGGCGAGGATCTGCCATTCGTCTGGGGTCAACTTTGTCAGTCCTTCCACCGTGCTGGGTATGGGGAGGGACTTTAGGTACTTGGGCAGATCAATCTTCAGAACTCTGCGGATAGCTTCCATCTTGACGACTCGTTCCTCGACGGTATCTTTTCGCACTGGAAGCTGAAGTGCAGTGAACGTTCTGTATCCGGTTGTTTGCTTTCCGTTTCCGGATACGTGTAAGGTGGATTGGCTAAAACTAGTACTATTAATAACAAGTTAGTATGCTTTCAGGTTAAACTTGCCAATTGTAATCCATTTTACTTTTAGCAATTAACGTTAGAGACTTTTCGCAACCCTATAGGACGGTAAGTCAAACGCAAACGAGACCTCGACGTAGAATGCACCTTCTTCGTCTCTCAGGACCGGGATTTCAATACTGAAAAGTGCTGTGTGAAGCTGCAAATCAAGGCAAAATAGGAGGAACGGTTTATGGTGCACGGTTTAAGCTTAAACATGTATGCGGGTTTTGCTTATTTTTTTGGTGATTTCGTGTTTCTAGCGATTCGATTGGCTATTCGTGAATTCAAGCAATTCCATTGGTCATTTTGAGTGCACTTTAAACTGTCCCGTGCACCGGCCATCTATGTTAACGTTAGGATGTTTCTGTAATTTTGGAGTTACTAATACGTACTACTGTAGTATTGTGTTTTTCAAATGTTTTGGCTATTCACACAATAAACCTGGGTGTTCGTTTATCGACATTTAGATAATCCGTACAGTGATTTAGGATCACGTTCGTGAATGTAATTATAGGGAGGTCATTAGGGCGTGTTCGGAGCGACTTTTGTGTCAGCGGTTTTTGGAAAAGTAGCCAATCAAAATCGTTTCCATTGACTTTTGCAAAAACCGCTCTTGGACGACCTCCTTGAGGTCGTTTACAGCGACTTTTGGGATTGTGGCTATTTATTGGGCAAAAATATCAGAATAAATTGTTGGTTGCAAATCAAATTTTCGCAAGAGCACGCCCAAAGCACGCCCTTATCGGTTGCCGGTGGTTCGTCACTCCACTTCGGTGTGTACTGGTAGGTCCTCGACGGGAGAACTTTACCCATGTGAAGCACGGCTGTGGTAAGTCATTTCCATGTCGAGGGTAGCAGCACACACAACGCATCGAACGCTGTACACATGCCCCTCCCGCGCGACCTCCTACTTGTACTGAACCCTAGGCTCTGTGTATTGTAAACTGATATCATGTTAGCTAGGCGTTGATCTTATGGGTTGCGCATGCCTAGAGTTAGTAGTGATGACTGCACGACTCCTTCGGGAAGGAGAAGGTCACACCGACGCACAAGGTTGAAACACATAGCATTGTCGGTCGGTTTGACCTTTACCGGTTCGCCATTAGCGTGGCAGTCTATATTTCCAAGCCGCCGACTTACGACTGACTTGCGTAGATA